CTGTTTTGACTACTATAGCTTTATAATATAGTTTGAAATCAGTACCTGTGATGCCTCCAGCTTTTTTGTTCTTTCTAAAGACTGCTTTGACTATTTGCAGTCTTTGTGGTTCCATATGAATTTTAGGATTTTTGTTTTCTATTTCTGTGAAAAATGCAATTGGAATTCTTACAGAAGTAGCATTGAATCTGCAGATGGCTTTGTGTAATACGGACATTCTAACAATATTAATGCTTCTAACCTATGAACACAAAATATCCTTCCATTTATTTGTGTCATCAATTTCTTTCATCAACATCTTATAGCTTCAGTCAACAGATTTTTTTTTTTTACCACCTTGATTAAATTTATTACTTAAGAAAAAAATTTTTTTTATCCTCACTCAAGGACATTTTTTTCATTGCTTTCAGAGACAGAGGGAGAGAAAGAGAAACATCGATTGGCTGCCTTCTCCTACACACCCTGACCAGTGATCAAACCTCCAACCTTTCACTCTACAGGACAACGCTCCAACCGAGCCACCCCAGCCAGGGAATCCTTGGTTAAATTTATTGCTAAGTGTTTTATGTTTCTGATGCTACTGTAAGTGGGATTGTTTTTATTTCTCTTTCTGACAGATTGTTCTTAGTGTACAGAAACATAACTGATTTCTATATTGATTTTGTATCCTGCAACTTTACTGAAATAAGGTATGCAGTTTTTTGGTATAGTCTTTAGAGTTTTCTATATATAATATTACATCATCTGCAAACAGAGTTTTACTTCTTCCTTTCTGATGTGGATCTCATTTCTTTCTTTTTCTTCATACCTTGTTGATCTGGCTAGGACTTCCTGTAATATGTTCAATAAAAGTGGTGAGAGTTGGCATCCTTGTCTTGTTCCTGATTTTAAAGGAAAAGTTTTGAGCTTTTCACCATTGAGCATGATGTAAACTGTGGGTTTGCCATATATGGATTTTATTAATGTTAGGTACATTTCCTATATATCCAATTTATTGAGAGTTTTTAACATGTAAGGATGTTGGATTTTGTAAAATGTTTTTCTGTATGCACGGGGTTGATCATATTGTTTTTATTCTCTATTTTAAGTGGTATATCATATAGATTAATCTACAAATGTTGGATCATCCCTGAAATAAACCCCACTTGACCATGGTATGATCTTTTTAAGGCATTTTTCAATTTGGTTTACTAATATTTTGTTGAGGATTTTCTGCATCTACGTTCACCAGGGATGTTGGCCTGTAATTTGTTTTTTTCCTTGTAGTGTCCTTATCTGGCTTTGGTATCAGGGTAATGCCAGCCCTGTAAAATGAGTTTGGAAGTGTTCCCTCCTCTTCTGCTGTTTGGAAAATTTTTGGAAGAGTTTGAGAAGGATTGTTGTTAATTCTTCTTTAAAAATTTGGTAGACTTCTCCAGTGAAGACATCTGATCCTAGACTTTTCTTTGCTGAGAGGTTTTGATTGATTATATCTCCTTACTAGTAACTGATCTGTTCATATTTTCTATTTCTTCATGATTCAGGCCTTGAAAGGTTATACACTTCTAGAAATATATCCATTTCTCCAAAACTGTCAAATGTGTTGGCATATAATTGTTTGTAATATTCTTTAATGATTCTTTGTATTTCTGTGGTGTCAGTTGTAACATCTCTTTCATTTATGATTTTATTTGAGCTCTCTTTTTTCTTGATGAGTTTGTTTAAAGGTTTGTCAATGTTAGCTGTCTTTTCAATGAACCAGCTTTAGTTTTATTGATTTTTTAAATTGTTTTTAAAGTTCTATCTTGTAAAAAATAAAATAAAAATACATTTCTATTTTGTTTATTTCCACTCTGATCATAATTATTTCTATTTCTTTCCTTCTGTTTACTTTGGGTTTTGTTTGTTCTTTTTCTAGTTCCTTTGGGTATAGAGTTAGAGTTCTTTGGGATTTTCTTGTTTCTTCAGGTAGGACTGGTTATCTATGAACTTACCTCTAAGAACTGTTTTTGCTGCATCTTATAAATTTTGAAAAGTTGGTGTTTTCCTTTCCACTCATTTCATAATAGTTTTTACTTCCTGTTTGATTTCCTCTTGATTCATTTGTTGTTTAAGAGCACTCTGTTTAGTCTCCAAATGTTTGTGTTTTTTCCAGTTTTCTTCCTGTAGTTGATTTCTAGTTTCATGCCATTGTGGTTGGAAAATATGCTTGATATGATTTCAATCTTCTTGAATTTAGTAAGACTTGTTGCCTAATATGTGATCTATTATGGAGAATGTTCTACATCCACTTGTACAATGAGTATTCTGCAGGTTTTGGATGAAACGTTCTATAAATATCTATTAAGTCCATTTGGTATAATGTGATATTTGAGGCCATCGTTTCCTTATTAATTTTGTGTCGGGATGATGTATCCACTGATATAAGTGGGGTATTAAAATCCCCTACTATTACTGTATTACTGTGTTACACAGCCTTTTAAGTGGTTTTTTTTAAGTCTTAATAAAAAAATGTTATTTTACAAAGAGCTTTCAATTTGAGAAAAGCCCTGATCAGTGTGGCTCAGTTGATTGGAGCGACATCCCAGAACCAAAAGGGTGTGGGTTCAATTCCCGGTTAGGACACATGCCTGGGTTGTGGGTTAGAATCCCAGTCCCAGTTTGTATTATCCTGGGTCCAGTAGTATGTGGGAGGCAACCAATTGATGCTCCGGCTCACATCAATGCTTCCCTCCCTTCCTCTCTCTTTAAAAGCAGTGAAAAAATGTTCTCAAGTGATGATTAAAAAAAAAAAAAATTTAAAAAACACCAATTAAAAAGACATTACTTTTTTTAAAATATAAGAAAAAATAATTTGAGAATATACTCAAGATATAATATTAAAAAAAGAGCAATGGACAAAATTATATATACAGTTTGTTTTAAATATATTTTAGCACATAAAAGAAACCGAAAAGGAATATTCCAAAATGTTACCAGTGGAACTTCCAGTTAAGATGGCAGCAAAGGTAAACATGGCTCACCTCCTCACACAACCACATCAAAATTATAAATAAAATATAGAACAACCATCACTCAGAACTGTTAAAAATCGAGGTGAATGGAAGTCTGACCACTATGGAATTAAAGAAACCACATCCATCCAGACTGGTAGGATGGGCAGAGACATGGAATGGGCTGGTCCCATACCTATGTGTAGTAGATAAAAATTCAGGAAGGATATCTTGGGAGTAAGGAGTCCCAGCCCCACACCAGGCCCCACAGCCCAAGATTCCAATGCCAGGGAGATAAGTCCTCATAACTTCTGGCTGCAGGGAAAAATCAGCAGGGATTGAGTCAGTGGAAGAAACTTCTGGAGTCCCAAGCAGTTCTTCTTCAAGAACCCACACATGGACTTACTCAGACTCACTCCCTTTGTGCTCCAGCACCAGGGTAATAGCTTGAAATGCACCAGTAGCATACACAGAGAAACTGAAGTGTCTGGCATCAAGGCGGGAGCTGAGGGACATCTTTCTCCCAGATAGAATGGTGGGCAGAGGCCATTGTCCCTTTTCTGAACCTTCCTCCCATACAGCCACAGAGTCAGCAAGCAGGTGTCATATCTAAAGGTTATAAGGATGCTCAAGGAACTTAGGGAGGACCTCAACAGCATAAAAAAGATGCAGTTAGAAATGAAGGATACACTAACTGAAATAAAGAAGAGTGTACAGGGAAATAACAGTAGAGTGGATGAAACCGAGAATCAAATCAATGATTTGAAACATAAGGAAGTACAAAAACAACTAATCAGAACAACAAGAAAAAAGAATCCCAAAAAACCAAGATAGTGTAAGTAACCTCTGGGACAACTTCAAGAGGTCCAATATTCGCATCACAAGGGTGCTGGAAGGAGAAGAGAAAGAGTAAGAAATTGGAAATCTATTTGAAAAAATAATGAAAGAAAACTTCCCTACTTTGGTGATGGAAATAGACATGCAAGTCCAGGAAGCACAAAGAGTCCCAAATACTATGGATGCAAGGAGGCACACTCCAAGACACACAATTAAAATGACAAAGGTTAACGATAAAGAGGCAATCTTACAAGCAGCAAGAGAAAAGAAACTAGTTACCTACAGAGAAATTCTCATAAGACTGTCAGCTGATTTCTCAAAAGAAACTTTGCAGGCTAGAAGAGACTGGCAAGAAATATTCAAAGTCATGAAAGGCAAGGACCTACAGCAAGATTGTTCTATCCAGCAAAGATATCGTTTAGAATCAAAGGGCAGACAAAGAGCTTTCCAGACAAGAAAAAACCAAAGGAGCTCATCATCACCAAACCGTTATTATATGAAATGTTCAAGAGACTTATTTAAAAGATCAAAGCTATGAACCATAAAATGGGAATAAATACATATCTATTATCAATTGAATCTAAAAAAAAAAAAACTAAGCAAAGAAGAACAGAGACAGAATGATGGATACAGAGAGCTTTTGATGGTTGCCAGATGGGAAGAGAGTGTGGGGGAATGGGTGAAGAGGTGAGGGGATTAAGAAGTACAAATAGGTAGTTACAGAATAGCCATGGGGATGTAAAGTACACTATAGGAAATGGAGTAGCCAAAGAATATATATGTGCATGACCCATGGACATGAACAATGGTGTGGGTATTGCCTGAGGGAGCAGGGGCTGCTGGGTGAAGCGGGCATAGGGGGGAAAAATTGGGACAACTGTAATAGCATAGTAAATAAGACATAATTTTTTTTTAAAAAAACCCAAATACAAAATGCTATCAGTGACTGCAATGACTGCCTCCTGATAAGAAATTAGGAATTTTTCCTTTTCTTTTTTTTGTATTTTAAAATATTTACCAGTTGTGTAATTAAAACCCTAACCACAATGTACTGAAACTAATAATAAAAAAAGACATATTATTAACACTTAGATATTAATTCTGCAAAAGAATGGGAAATGGCCTCAATGAAATGATACAGCACAACTACCAATGCACTTAATCAAAACATGAGTATTATCCTTTACATACCTGTGAATCTGTCCATTTTTGTGCAGGTACTCCAACCCTTCCAACACTTCTTTGAGTATTGTAGCAATGGTAGGTTCATCTAAGACTCCACTTTTGTGCTCCCCCTTTGCCACAATGTGCTTAATAATATCCAGAACAGAACCTGAAAACAGAAGACACAGTTCTCCATAAATTTTTAACTTACTCAACGATTCAGAGTCATTTTGAAATCAAAACACATGTAACCCTTTTGATAAGTTTAATTGTGTGGGGGGGAAAAAAGGAAAAAATAAGAAATAAAGGAAATGCAAAAGTTTAAAGTTAATAATTTATTCTCAATGCCAATCAAGAACAGAAAGAAGACTGCCAATATCCGAACAGCAGTATTACACCAGCATCATCTTTAGACTCTAATGAGAATTTGAAAAAGGTAGTAGAGAATTTTTAACGGCCTCCGAAGAATACCTAGGTTAACCATGCCCACCAATGAACACTTTAATATACGATATCACAAACTAACTTAGGTCTCAACACCAGGTCAGAGTATGCAACACTATGTCAATAAACACAGAAAAATACAATTGAAATACAAGTCAAATTACATAATACTTGAGAAGTAAAGGTCACATGTGTACTCAAACTAACCTAAGGATTAAAATTTTGTTTCAGGTTGATAAATAATAGAAATGAAATGGGAAATGCAAAGAAAAATATGAAAAACATTAAAATGGCAGTTCCCTTTAAATAACAACCCAGGAGTGTATTATCAACTCCATTCTTCCCAGGATGGGAAATAATGCTCCTACTAAAAATTAGGGGACAGGAACGATAAGATGCCTATATAGTAATTTAATCATAGAACTCTGACTACCGTAACTGATGATTATAACTTTTAACAGTCTGCTAAAGATCTGTAACGTTTCTGTCAGTACAATGGCCCATTAAGATCACAGAAGCAAAACAAAACAACCTCCACTGTTAGAAATTGTACCAAGAACTCTGGAACTGCATTGAAAAGACTGGATGCCCATTTCTGGGCACAAGACCTTAATGCTCAGGACTAAAACTAAAACAAATACATGATTCTGTTGAAAACTTGCTCCGGTGGGTCCCTTTTATTTCACACACTTAAAAAGAAAAAAAATGTACTCCCAAATAGATGAAAAGAAGTCGTCTAGATGAAATCTTTGAAAACACAGAGTATTGAACCCATGTTTACTTTATCTCCCATTTGAAATCCACTAACTTGATAAACTTAATTTTTTTAAAAAAGAGCATAAACCCAGAACAAAGAAGAAAACAAGAATCAACAGACGAGAATAATTTTTTTGGAGAAGGAAAGCACAAAAATAAAAAGTAACCAACTAAGCAGAGTAAAGAAATCTGAAACTTCAACAGGGAAGGTATGCCAATTAGGAAAGAGTGATCCCTACCTCGAGCTTCAGAAAGGCTGAGAATACAAGGACCACATAAGGGGAAGTGAGGGGGAACTAAGGAAAGGGTGCAAACAGGAAGACTCGTTTAAAGTTCCTAAGGGAGAATATGATTTCCAGACCCAACCTCCCTGCTCTGGAAGCCAGGCCCCTCTCAGCACCTCCAACAGGAGACAAAGAACCAGGGGGGTTCCAGGTACCAGGTAACTTCTCCTAATACATGACCCCTACCCGCTTTACTGCTGGGGTTCACAAGACTGGCCCACAAAGCGGGGGCCTCAGCCAACACCAAGGGTAGGCCATACTCACTGAAGGCATTTAATCTCCACAAAGGGGAAGCCTAGGGGATAATTTTTGTTCTGCTTAGTTTTAACCAATCACACATTAATCCCTAAAACAAAGTGACTACACTGACAGGCCACATAGTTCATTCTTCTGAGAAATCCAGGCCAAATAAGAGCTGCTTAATAAGAAGATATCTGTAGAATGCCAATTGAGTTACATGTTTGTAATGTAAGAAAGATCTAAAATAAGGAGTGCAAAGGGAGGAATTAAAAACTAACACAATCTATTCATTCAAATATTAAGCTACATTATATGCAAGATCTACAGCTGAGTGCCACAGAGTATGTCCAGATATACACAGCATGACCGCTGACTTTCAAGGAACATCAGTCTGGTGGGATCACGGAATCAGATCAGCAAAGACCCTAGGGCACATAAAAATTTTTAAAAGTTTGAGGCAGGAACTCCTTTTCAAAGTCTTAGAAGATTTTTATTAATTTCACATCACCTAATGATCAGTGGGGGAGTTAAGGCAACACACATCCCCAGTCTACATCCAGAGCAGACGTACTGAACAAGGCTGTAGAAGAAGCCCCTGTGATAACAAGGTCTTTTCAGTTTCAGTCTCCCAACAATATAATTTTTATAAGTGGAGGGATATCAGTCCACCAAGATCATCATCCTTGACTGAAAAATACTAGTCCTGACGTTGCAGCACCTAATCCTACAGGTACTTCTTTCTAGTCCCTTTCAACAGCTTTCTTAATCACTCTGATTTCTAAAAATCTTATATTACAGTTTATAAGTTGTAGAAATAGCTATTTAGATCAAAAGTACTTGTAATTTCTAAATATTAACTTTCTACACTGATAAATTTAATTATTCAATATCAGAGTTTTAATTAGCAAAAGTTAAGAGTATCTCAGTCACAAGGAAGCATTGTGAAATAATTATAATATTGACACACTTAAACTTATTTTAATCATGATGTCCACCTGGCTGATGGGTTTGAGAGTGACGGTTTCCAATTCATTTTACAATTTAATTAGCTCATTAAATTTTACATCAGCACAATGTTGCTCAATCAAAAATATGCGTTTTAAATATTTTGGCTGAAAAAGTTGGTGTGCAAGAAGGTAGCCTGTACATTTTTCTGTTAACTCTAGTTATATGTAGTTTTTACCTATTCAGAGGTCACCTGTTCCTGCCCCTGCTCCAGCTGTGATTCCCCCGTCAGCTCCCAAGACACGGCACACTCCCCCATCCTGCCTCCAGACAACTCTCTGTGCAGTGTTCCAGGCGGACCCCTTCTCCACCCTTCCCTGAGATCACCTCCACCTCCAATTCACCTGGCTAATTATTATCTGTTCTTCAGCTCTCAGCCAAATACCCCCTCCTGAGGGAAGTCTTCGTTAACCCCACCACATCCATTCTTCCTCAATAAGGTTATGTTCTCCTAGTACGTCTTCCCATGGCACCTAATACTTCTTCGTGGCTCTCTACACACTTATAATTATTTAACTGCAACTTTTCCTTATTAGCTATGAACTCTGTTAAGAACAAGGAACCAACAGTTTGATTCACCAATGTATTGGTGGTCAATAAGCATCTGATGAATAGAGATTTAACTGAGCTACCTTGACAGTTTCCTCCTATTAAAAAAATTTAAGTTGTGCTTAGTTTTACCTATTGTTTTCTAATATTGCATAATGTATCTTTAAAGTTTAAATGCGTATTCACTCTACAACTATACAACTGAGATTTCATTTTCCAAAAAAGCATGCAAAATTTTTAATATTTTTAAAAGGTTTAGATGTAAGATTATGCTGATTCATAAAAACATCAAGTAATTATAAAACGAATTAATGCCTGAAACACGTTTGAAAATTATCCTCCAGGACATCTGCTGAGTGCTAGGCTAAAAAATTTGGGCACTGTCCTAAGACCAGGAGGGACAGAGAGGTACATTTAAAAGACACCACCCAGTTACATGTCCTTCCCCTTCTGTGATCAGGGCATATAGTCATTAACAGAACGTGGATTCTTGAAAATATGTATCATTCTGCTTAGGAGTGTAGCAGAAAGGATAGGCTGGCATACAAGTGCGGATGAGAAAATTAAGCAGACAATTTATTCCTATTCATCAGAGGACCTTTTAGCAAAACAGTGAACACTTTGTATTATACAGTTTTGTAAATTACAATAAAAAATTATGCTATAAATGATCAATAACGAAAGATACAGTATTACCTAATATTCCCATATCTGTCCATACTGAAAGAACCATGCTTGACCACCATCTTGAAAGGTGGTTGGTGTTAGCAAGGCTTCCAACCATCATATGAACAGGGCCTTTAACAAAGCCATCCAGTTTCTCCAGTGTGTCACTAATGGGATTGAAACAAAAAGGTGATTCTGGCTACACTGAAAAGCATCAAATAACATGGGGTTATTATTTTTAATGACTAAAATTTCTTGTGCACCTTACTACATGTCAGCACAGTGGTGGAGGCTTCACAAATATTATCTCATTCACTCTTCCCCCATGCCCTGAAGTGCAGAAAGGTATCCCCATTCCATAAACAAGTAAACAGGTTCAAAGAGTTGAAACAGTTTGCCCAAGGACATATAACTGCTAAGTAGGAAAGTTCGAATTTAATTCTAAAGCCTATGCTCTTTCCTTTAAACCTCTCTGGGGAAGTAAATGCTTAACGAGGTATAATATTGAAATTGCAAACAAATACGAACTCTCTTTTCTGTAACCCTGCATTCTAAAATGGAAAATCATGCTCCCACACAAAATACATATGCAAACAAAACCAAGCACTGCAGTGACAGGAAAGTTGGGTGGCTCCGTCGCTCACTAACCCTCTCACTTTTGCCACACGATTCAAATCCATGCCTCAGCGCAATGTCTAACTTACCACATGGCATGGCCGTCAGGACACCATAACAGAATGTCTAATCTATACCTGCCAGGGGTCCACTGTGTGCAAGCACAATACTTACATTTTATTCTAAGGACTAACGCAGAAATAACTGCACATTTACTGCAGGATAAAGCACATAATTAATCATGTTACTGTTGGGGACCAAGACTTTCTGTGTAAGAGAAACATGATTCAAGTATAATTAGAAAGTTTTAAAGGTCTGTAATATTAAACTTGAATTGGAAGCATTAATGTCAAATCATGACTTATTTTTAATACACTGTATTTCCAAGTTCATTCAACTAGAAGCAATGATAAAGTAGCAGCAAAGAGCATCCCAAGCATCCAAGACATGCTTTCTAAATACTATTCCCCATAAAAAAAAATCAGAGCTCCTTAGAATATTGGCTGGTTTGGGTCTGGGAAAAGTAATAGAAACATGAGCCTAGGAAATCTTGAACCAAAAAACAAGGAAGTTATCCAAGATTGATGAGTCACATCCAAAGGACACAAGAGTAAGCTTAAAGGGACTCCCATTGACAAAATTTTGGCCAGCCTGAGCATTAAAAGAATAGAGTATAATTGATTGGAAGACACTGAATATATAAAAATCCTTGCATCTACGTAATAATATTTTGAAAAACGACAGCCTTACCCAATGGGCGTTCGGGGACCCTCTCATTTGCTACCATTGGAGGTGATTATTAAACTCTTTACTCTAAAAATCGGTCCTTAAAAAAAGAACCAATTATTTATCCTGTCTTTTCAGTAGGAACTACAATATAGATTAATCAAAGAGCCCAGTTAATAAGGTGAAGTTCCTTTACGCAGATGAATGCCAGTTTATAAATATAAAAGAAAGCATGCAATAAGAAAATCCACCATTCTGCAGTCCCGGACAAAACAACTGATTCAAATGACTGTTAATGGATGCTAAAATCATTGGACAAAGACTCATGAGGAACTAGAAACTCAGTGTCAAAGTACAATCTCACAGATTACTTGCTAGTGGCAAAGGGAAAAAAAGTTACCCTTTCCATGGAGCGGCCTGGCTATCACTATCTTAAGCAATCAAAAATTAACATCACCATTAAAAATAAAACCAGAAAACAAATACGTCCTGACATGATGCAATTTGAGGTACACAGCATCACCTACAATATCTGGTGTCAAACATATTTAACTTAGCTCAATGGGTTGAGCACCAGCCTGCAAACCAAAAGGTCATGGGTTTGATTACTGGCTAGGGGCACAGGCCCAGGTGCCAGGCCAGGTCCCCAGTTGGGGACGTACAAGAGACCACTGATCAACGTTTCTCTCCCTCTCTTCCTCCCTCCCTGCCCCTCTCTCTAGGAAAAAATAAGTAAAATCTTTTTAAAAAATATTTAACTTAAAACTAATCAAGGCTTTAGATCTAATTTTCAATTTGTAAGGAATAAAGGAATATGAACCAAGTTAAACATCGCCATAAAGACATATCCAAGCCCTGGCTGGTATGGCACTGTGGATTGAGCACCAGCCTACGAGTCAAAAGAAATATCCAGATAAATCCAGAATGTGGGACTTTCTACAAGATAGTTGCCATCAGAACCTTCAGACCAGACCCGTCAACAAATTTTTGTCATGAAAGACAGAAAGTGGGAGGGGACCATCCTAAATTAAGATAAATTTAAGAGCCATGACAACCAAATGTAATGTGTGACACCTGTCTTAGCTCATACACTAGCCTTGTTAGCAGATATTGTATTCTCAGTATCTCCTCAAATGCAAATGTTCATGAAAACCAAACAAGAACAGAAAAGAACATTTTTATTAACTCTCCAACCCATGGAAGTTAGTATTTCATTGTATTTTACTCACCTCCACTTAGCAGCTTCATGACAAGCCACAGCTCATCCTTTACTACAAAAGACGTGTAGTAAGACACAATATTAGGATGATGGCACTGACTCATGGCTTGAATTTCTTTCTACAAAGAAGAGAAACATAACTCATTACATGCGAGCGTAAAACAGAACGACGAGTGAGTGAATACAGACTGGGGGTCCCAAGACTGGGGCGCAAACTTTCTGGGATCTCCATGGCTCTGACCTCTTCCAGAACAGTTAAAACCAAAACCACTTAGTTTCCCTCAGTCCACTGGGACTCCACGTCTTCCGCTCACGCTATTAGTAATCTCTGAAACGAGAAACATGCATTCTCACATTCTGTGCCTGGCCTGGCACAGCACCGCAGGGCCCTCCACAGGGACATGTATTTTTACTTCAAGGTGCCCTTGAGAAACCATCTTGGGAAATCTGGCTTTATAGCCAAAGAGGATAATTACTAATAAACAAAGGGTGGTTTTTGTTTGTCTATGGGTTATTTCTTTCAAAATATTGTTTCATCCCATTTTGGCAAAATGACCAACGATTCTCACACACTAAAGAGGGATAGACTGAAACAGGGCAAGGTCATAAACTAAATCCAAAGTAGAAACCTGTGCCAAAAGTCTAAGTTGACACAATCTCCACTAATAAATTTAAATTAGATAAGGTATAATAAAATGCCTTATAAAGCCCTGTGTGTTCAGGGCCCTGCTTACCTCTCTAGTCTCATTCCTACACCCTCACACCTTACACTGCAACATACCCCAGTCCTAGTAACTTCAAGTGAGCCACGCTTCTTCTAACCATGGACATTCCAGCCTACTGCACAGTCTGCCTCAAATACGCCTCCCTCATTTTTCTGCCCAGCTAAAAACGCCAACTCTTCCTTCTGAACTCAGTCAAAATAGCATTTCCTCCCAGCTTCTTAGGCTGAGTTAGGTATCCCTTCTCTTGGCTTCTAAGCTCCCTGAGTGTGTCCTTACATCACGGCACATGTGTACTGAATAGTGTCCTGGGTCCTTGTTTGTCCGCCCCTCCTTGCTAGATGGCAGGCTCCATGAAGGCAAGCCCTTAAAAGTGGATTCCTTCCCTGGCCAGGTTGCTCAGTGGGTTGGAGCAATGGCCCATTCACCAAAAGGTTATGGGTTTGATCCCCAGTCAGGGCACATACTTAGGTTGTGGGTTCCATTCCAGGTCGGGGCATGTACAGGAGGCAACAGATCAATGTTTCTCTTTCTCTCTCTCTCTCTCTCCGCCACCTCCTTCTCTCTCTAATAATCAATAAACATATCCTTGGGTGAGGATTTAAATAAGACTCAGTATTAAAACAAAGTGAATTCCTAAACGCTGTGGAACTTACATACTATACTGTAATTGCTTATTTATTTTTCTGTGTCCCTCACAAAACTGTAAGCTCAATGACAGCTAAGACTATTTCTGGTACTTATCATTGTGCCTGGCACACAGCACACCTTCAATAAATATTTGTTGAATGAATGAATCCTACAGCACTATATACAGCCTTCTTCACTGATTCAGGTATTTGACCTTGGTTCAAATTTGTTCAAGAAAATCAATCATGTAAAAGCTGCCCATATTCCCTGCTTCATATGAAGTACTCAATAAATGCCAGTTTTTCTTTCCTCGTCGTCTCTGCTTGAACGTGAATTGCTTTATGGCAAGGACCTTGCAGCCTGTATTTTTGCCACCCCCAAAGTCATAAGCACAATCTTCTGTACTAAAAGCTAAGTAAACATGAAGGAAAAGGAAGAAGGAACTAAAATAAGCACTTGCCTGCTAATGCAGTTCTACAGGATTTGAAGAGATAAGATAAGTATATATGAGAGGGAATCCATAGTCAGGACATACATGCCAAATGAGTCGTAAAGATAATAAATGTTACCAAAAAATCCATAGGAAACGGTTAAGGCAGGCAAGTCTTCACGCAGGTGGAAACTAGGTTTAATTCTGATGGATGCGAAGATATGAGAGCAGTACAAGGTGAAAGGCGTATATAATTACAAAAAAAGGGCGGATATGCAAAAGAGAGCGTTGGACATATGAATAAACCTGTCTGGAATGAACAGTTCATGCTTTCAACAGGTGTTTACCAAGTGCCTCCTATATGCCAGGCACAATGCTAGGTGCTTGACCACAATGGTGAGCCCTCCTGAAACCTGCAGGCTGGTGAAGAAGTTCGACAAATACTAATTTACAACATAGACCGATAAACAGTTTGCTAGGGGAACTATAAGCCACTACATGGCTTCACTGGAGAGGCAAATCATCAAAAACCAGGAGTGGTGATCAGGGAAGGCTTCCTATAAGAAGTGCCAGCGTCTCCCTGCGCTGGTGGCCCAAGCCACGAGCACCTCCACAAAGGCCTGCACCCCCGTCCTTGGGAGCTCTCCTCCTCCTCTCACCTGCACGGGACGCCATGCCTTTCCTGGCACTTCTGCTCTGGCATTTTTTTTTTTTTTTTTTTTAATCTTACCTGGTTTTTTTTTTTCATTCCTTAAATGTGTGTACAGCTCACATTTCAGTGTTTAATATTAATATTGCTGGGTGGTTTTTTTGTGACAAGAAATAAGCTCTAGGAAATTACCTCTTGTCCACATAAATTAGCCAATGGCAAAATTCTGTCATAGTATCTAAGAACCTATAGATGACATTAAGTGGGTATTCACTGTAGTCATTCTAGTCTTCAATTGCGCTGAGCCTCCTGGTAGGAGAAAAGACGTTGTAAGCCTCTTTGTGTCTCCTCGGACGCTTGTCCAGTGAATCTAGTCCTAGCAACTACGAGAGAAAAAGCTCAAGTACCGTGCCATGTGCCCTTCTGAGAGAGAAGCCTGTGAGTAAAATCTCTGGAGAAAATAAATGTAGCAAGATCTGACAGCTGACTGTGCCATCACACCTGGCAAGGTTGTCAGACGAGAAAACATTTTGACAAGAGCAAGGAGCAACATACTGCCTCCTCAGTGATAACTGTCACCCACGACAGATACCTGCAGTCAGTTTACCTCAGCCCTCTCTGGAGAATGCAGGGCGCCCTTTTGCATTACAATAAAGAGAAGTTCAAAAACGAATTTTTAAATCACCACATCTAAAATTTACTGTGTTAATGTACTAGGTTTTCCAAGGGCGACTGAAGGGCTTCATCTCTCTCAGAAGTGGAGCCGTGGCCCTGGGGCCGGGCCCTGACACCAGGAACACGCAAATGAATCAGGCATTATTTATACTCCTCATGCGCTTCCAGGCTTCGGTGGGCTCTTACCTGCTCCCCACACCCACCCCCCCAATAAAGCCAATTATCTTAAACTTGCTTTACTAAAGTCACTTATTTGCTAAATATACAAACACTACATTTGCAACATAAAACTTACTGGAACGTGCAGCCAAAATTTACAGAGATGTAACTAATGCTTTTCCTTTTATTAAGCTATATCCAATTTCCATTCCTTTAAATGTAAGTCCCTACTGTAATAACACAAATACTACTTTCAAGAATGTCAAATTATACTTTAGAAGCAATGTTCTTTCTAACTTTGAACTAAGATTATAATAATTTTGTTAGTATTGTATGAAGTAGAAAACAACAGAATTCAGGCAGGAAGACCTGGTTTTTAATCTGGACTCTGTCACTTATCATATGATTTCCTTCCCTTGCCTATAAAATGGAGCGCCTACCTATCTCCCAGAGACGTTTATAAGGTTAGAGTGCATGTAAGTGCCTAGCTCTGAAAAGATGTGTGCTATTTATTATCTTCATGTGAACTTAGTCAAGTTAAACTTTGAGACACAGTTTCTTTAGTCAAGAAGTAATAATAAAACTTTCATTCATCCACATTATCTCTGCATATGTAAAATAACTGGCAAATGACAGGCATTCATATTGGGCTTCTCATATTTCAGGCTTAATGTGTAAGTTAAACATACTATTTTTCTTTAACAAAATTAGTTTACAACTTAGATTCTTTTGTAATCACTGCCATTCAAATGTCCAAAGGATGCTGGCAGGGGTGTCCAACCCTTTGGCGTCTCTCAGCCATACATTAAAGGCACCAGCACTAACAAAAACAAAAAAATCTCGTAATGTTTTAAGTAAATTTACAATTTTGTGTTGGGCTGCATTCATAGCCACCCTGGGCCGCATGCAGCCCACGGGCTGTGGGTTGGACACCCCTGCAAGGTACTGCTGGCAGCTGTAAACCCAAGATCATCAAATAGGATTTCCATCAACATCTCCTTCCAAGTGTGTGTTCTCCGACCAAACACAACTCAAGATCATTCTGGCAACCAACTTCAGCTTCTGCCCATGCTCTGCCAATGCCTGAAGAAACTTATTTGTCTCATCTTCTAAAAGTTCAATATATAATTCTATTCCCTCTTTTCCCTTTATTCCAATTATTTCCTAATACTCAGTATAGACCAGAAATTAAATCCAACCTGGGACCCTGAGAAAAGCTTCTGGACTGCCAGATTATCGCAGTCCTAATTCCTACTCTCTCTATCACTAGCTACATAGGATCTCAGAGAAATTACTTAATAAAATTGCGATATTAGTTCATATTCACATGACAGTTTACATAGTTTTCAAATACTATGTCGCTTGATCTTCAAGAAAAACCTAATAAAATCCATTTTAAGCCAAAAAAATAGAGCATTTAAAAAGTTAAATGATTTGGAAAAATTACTTTGTTTCCCTTGCCGAGCACTTAACTACATACTTAAAACTACTCTGGGTGTCATGGTGCATCAGAGAAGTCCAAAGCAACCCCTGTGGGCCTAGCATTTAATGCCACAAAACCTCTCTGGCAGCTATGGGTCCTTGGGACTCCCTTCCTCTCTCTCCCCCTAGCCTTTGCAGAAGCCGATGCTGCCTGCAGTCATCCTCTCTCTCATCGTACATCAGTGGTCGGAAAGCAGATTCCAACCATGTTCTTAGGGAGTCAAAAGCCTTTTAAAGGATATTCTAGTTGACCCAGGAATCACAACTGCATAATACTATTTTAAGGGAAAAAAGGAAGTAAGCAAGCATCATTTATAACAATAAAGAAGCAGCAGCAAGGTAATTGTTCAATACCAGAGAACAGGGTAAATAAACAGGGGACTAGTATAGTATCCCATTACATACATATGTTGAAAATTATATTAATTCATATATATAGACACGAAAAGAGTTCTGTGCTACGCTTTTCAATAAAAAGAACAAGTATATGATTACATTATCATAAACATATAAAGATGTTTAAATGTGCAGCCTGAAAGATTATATAGGAAGTATTAATCTCAGAATGAGAGGATTGTAACTATATATTTTCTACTTACCTGAGTTTTTATATATTTTACAATAAACATTGCTATTAATGTTAATGTTTTTAAAAAGGAATCAAAAACTTCAAATTACTTCCCACTCTAACATGAAATGTACAAGATTATACTGCTCCACTTAAGAAATATGAGACATGCATACCAGAAGCTCATCCATGCTAATTTGACATTTCTCAAGGTTTATCCGTTTGATTGCCACTTTCTCCTTTTTAGGGGCACAATATGCTGCTTGGACCACAGCCGTTGCTCCACTCCCTGAAGATAAATACATAAATGAGTAAATAAATAGATGGGTAGATAAAAACATAACATTTCTAATTCCCACACAACTTAAACAAGAGAAGCTAATCCTTATCTTGTTCCTACACTCAACAGATGCACAGAAACACTCTAAAAAGCAGGGTGTCTATAAAAGCAAAAGCCTTAACCATTTCAAGAACTGCCAATAAATACCAGTACCAAAAAAATAAAAATAAAATAAAATAAAACTGCTAGGTTTCCAGTTCTATAATTTGATGGTGTAGGCCCACATGTCCCTGCTCCTCTGAGCACATGGAAATCATTCAACAATCATAGAATGACTCTGTAATGTGGAAGGAAGGTGCACTGGCTAGGGACCCCCGGGGGCGAGGAAAAGCACCGCTGTGAGTTCCCTGGGTTTCCTTTCACCTCCTCTATGTCCATGAGCGGGCACCAGGGCAGCCTGCAACCTGAAACCCCCAATAGGAATAGACAAACACATGAGAAAATCCTGCTTTCTAGCCAAAGGACTGTGAAAAGCAAAGCTCAGCAGAGACTCAGGGGGACAGGGATTCCTAATCCCTACCCAGGACAGTGGGGAACCCAACCCACCACAGCATCAGCAGGGCCTCTGCCCCAGACCCACACCCAGACCCAGACCAGGCAGCAGGTGGCCAGATCCACTGCGGGGGCAACTAGAGCCCAGTCCCGCACCTGCGGCAACATCCAGCCAAACTGCCCTGAGCAGCAGCAGAACCGGGAACCCATGCGCCCCCGAGTCAGCCCAGGCCGCCCATGTGCAGATCAAACAGGAGTCCCTGTGGTGCCAGACGGATAAAGCAAAAGAGACTGGCACTTGCCAGAGTTCTGAGAACTAAATTATCATAGGAATTACACAGCTCACAGAAGTAGGCCAGGGCCTACACACTAAATCTAAATTGATTAACTGCTTACTAAAACAGAAGAATTAGCCAGAAGCAAGAGTCTCCTAATGTTAGTATCCTAAATGTCCAGGATACAATAAAAAATAATAATTATAATCGCATGTCATACCAAGAACCGGAAAAACACACTTATATGAGAAAAGACATTCGCACTGATGTCAACACCAAAATGAACCACATATTGGGGAATTCTAATGCAGCCGTTATAAAAATGCTTCAACAATTAGGAATTCTTTTAAAACAATAAAAAAGAAAGAAAAATCTCAGCAAAGAAATAGAATTTATAAAAAAGTACCAAATGAGAATTATACAAAACACGCAATTTTCAAACTAGCTGACTCAATCTAAACAACAGAGAGAAAACCGACAAAAAACAAAACAAATAAAAAAAATCCCCCCTAGATCCTCAGGGAACGGTGGGGTAAATAATGAAAGATCTAAAGTTCATGGGGTAGGTAGAATAATACCCCTCCCCAAGATGTGCAGGTCCTAATCCCTGAAACCTGTGAATGTTACCTTATATGGCAAAAACTATGTGTGTGTTAGGATGGGAAGATTATCCTGGATTATCTGGGTGAGCCCAATGTAATTAGAAGGGTCAGGATGATACAAACCATGAGCCAAAGAGCAAGTACTGATACATGAAACAACATGGATGAACCTTGAAAACATTATACTATGAGAAGGAAAAAAATCACTAAGGCCCACATGCTGTATGACTCCATTTATATGAAATGTCCAGAGCAGGCCAGCCTGTAGAGACAGAACATAGGTTAATGATTACTAGTAGCTGGGAGAAGAGGGGAATGGGGAGTTACTGCTTGATGGGTCCAGGATTTCTTTCTGACGTGATGAAAATACTCTGGAAGTAGACAACAGAGATGGTTGCAAAACTGTGAACTGTGAACATACTAAAATTCACAGAATTGTACTCTTTTAAAATAGTAAATTTTATGTTATGTGATTTTTTATTTTTTTAAAAAGATAAAGAACACTACAAATTACTTTAACTCATAATTCTATAATTTAGAAAAAATTAGACCAAGTTTTTGAAAACAAATAACTACCACACTCAGCCAGAATGAAGTAGGTTTTTTGAACAATCCTGTAACTATTTTAAAAATCAAATTTGTAATTTAAAAGTCCTCAAAAAGAGAAAATCTCCACAGATGGTTTCAATGGAGAATCTTACCAAACACTGAAAGAATTAATAGCCATTTTATACAATGTTTTCCAAAAATGGAAGAAGTGGAACACTTTCCAACTTAGTTATGAAGCCAATATACCAAGACCAAAACCAAAGACATCACAAGAATACTACAGACCAGTATCATGATCTTAGTTGCAAAATTCTTAACAAAATACTAGCAAATCAAATTCGACAACAGATAATAGACCACAAACAAGTGGTGCGTATTCCGGGTATGCAAGGCTGGTGCAATTTTTTTCTTTTTAAATCAAAATCAATGTAATGCACTATAGAAACAGGTTAAGAAAAATCATATGATCATATTGACACAGAAAAAACGTTTTATTTTTTTACATCCAACACCATTCATGATAAAAAGCTCTCAGCAAACTAGGAATAGAGAGGAAATAGAGAGGGTTCAACTTCATGAAGAACATCAACAGAAAAAACTTTACAGCTAGCAACACACTTGAAGACGAAAGACTGAATGCTCTCCCTGGACGACCGGGGAAGAGGCAAGAATGTGTGCAGTCTCCCCACTCTTATTTATTCTAGTACTGGAAGTCCTAGCCACCACAAGAAAACAAGAATAAATAAACAAAAGGCATACAGAAAAAAAGAAATAAAACTATCCCTATCCCTAGACGTACATGATTGTCAATTAGAAAAAAAGAAAAAGAAAATCCCAAAGAATATACAAGAAAAGCTCCTGGGACTAAAAAGAGAGGTTAGCAAGGTTGCAAGAAATAAGATCAACACACAAAAACCAACTGCATTTCTGTAAACTCACAACACACAAGTGGAAACCAAAATTTTAAAACACAATACCGTTCATAATTACTCCCCCAAAATGAATATTTAGGCATGAATCCAATAAAATCTGAACAGAATCTATGTGCTGAATATTATTACAAAATTCCAATAAAGTAAAGAAGGCCTAAATAATTGAAGAGACATATGGTGTTCATGGATTTTAAAAACAACACAGTAAAGATGTCAAAACTCCCTATATTGACTATATATAGTCTATATATAGGTTTAATAGAACTGTAAAAATATTTCATCTCTTCTTTAAAGCAGGTTCCTTATGTCGAATTTTTCAAACTACAAGTCAACTTACTGGCTTCAACTATCATTTTTCTTAGAGTAAATAGAATCAAACAGAAAACATTAGTATGCATTGCACATAGTAAAAGAAAATGTTACTTTAGAAAACTTATTTCAGTATAAATACACCTGCAAGTGTGTAAAAGGTATCTTTTAGAAATGGTTTAGCCAAAGTGTGAAAGCTACTGCTCCAATGGCCTCTCATAAGCATCAGCCTAATAGGAAGAATAACACAATGGCAAATATAAAAGAATTTCCAATAAAACATTCTAATTCAAACTTTGACTGTTTTACACTGTTAAGCATTTCAGTGCACTGTTCCCTACATCCCCACTTCTTCCACTCTTCTTTCTTCTGCCAGTTAGTTCTTTAACTGCAGAATTAGTGTACATTACACAACCAAATGGATTAATGCACAAAAATATAAATGAACTTTCTCCTGACATCCTTCAAACTGGGTAAGCTGCCCAAAGGCATGATGGGGACTAAAAAAACTTTCAGAGTCTCTCTCCACTTTACTAGACTCAGGAATTTAAAAGAGAAAGCAAAAAAAATGAGTATTAGTCCTATAAAATGAACCAAATCATTTGAAGATATGTCCCCTCAAATTTTAACCAGTCATCAGTATAGGTGACACATATTCTAAAGATTTTGTTTTTAAGTATTTTTAGTAAGGTTTTGCATTTACTGAAGAGCTAGCTAGCCCAGACCATTCTTTACAAGAGATAACTATGGCATTGTCTCCTGAGCCATGGAAAATAGAGGAATTTACAATTTTGTAAACCCTTTTCCACAATAAATAAGGCCTCTTGTTAGAGTCAAGTTGAAAAGTAAAGTTCCTAGAACTGGTGAAACAGCTGTAAGAATAGTCATCATGAAAATCATGCTATTCTCTCCATACGAAGATGAAAATAAAGACACACTGCCATATGCTTTGAGTAATTATTCAAACAGCCTGATGGTTTTGCAATGAATCATCCCTTTCTCTCCCGTTCACTCTGGGGATCTTCCATCTCAATGGACTGTAATTCCATCCTTCCAGATGCTCCAGCCAAAAATCTTCAAAACTCACATCTATTCCAAGAGCACATCTCTAATTTCAAAATGCGTTATATCCAACATATGACTGCTTCTTACCACTTCCACTACTACCTCTCTCTTCTGGATAACCTCTCCTTCCACCCTGGAACCCTTACAAAGTTGTTCTCTACGTAGCAGTCCAAGTTACCCTTTTAAAACATAAGCCAGATCATATTAATCCTCTGCTCAAAACCCAGCAACAATAGGCAGGCTTACTCTACGCACAAGGAGTACCCACAATGACTTACACGCAGCTTCACACAACCTGCTGGTCAGAACCACACACCCCTACCACCTTGCTCTTCTGAGCTCTTCCCCCGTCTGCCTCCACACCCTGTCTCACGCTGCTCCTGCCCCTCTCGCCTCTATTCCTTGGTCACCCCAGCACGCTTCTACTTCGGTGCTACTGCGGTCTGCTCTGCTTGGAACACACTTCCTGCAGACAGCCACAGCACGCAGTTCTTCCCCTCCTTCAAGTCTTTCCTCAAATGTCACCTGCTTAGTGAGAGGCTTTCACTGATCTATTTAAAACTCACCTCGGTCCCTAGGGGTTCCCAACCCCTTTCTCTGCTTTATTTTTGTCCTTGACCACTAGATTAGAAACTCCAAGAAAGCAGGGATTTGTCTGTCTGCTTTACTGCTGTATCTTTAGCGTCCAGAACGGTGCCAGGAGTTCAGTATTTGTTGAACAAATT